GAAGCAATTTCGCCCCTGGGAGCAAAGAAATTCGAAAATGTCCTTGTTAAGGACCACCCTAATATATATATATATATATATATATATATATAAATTGCACATAAATGTATGATGATTAGTGAGCTTTATGAACTATGCACAAATAGCATAGAAACGTACATAAATGTATATATTATCCACTGTGTAGTGCAATATATATATATCTATATGATACAATGATGCTACTAAGCTTTAATACACTATGTACAAATGGCATAGAAATGTACATACATTACACATTATCCACTATATATATATATATATATATATATATATATTATATATATATATATATATATATATATATATATATATGTACATATGGTTGTTCAATGTCTTGTGTGGACAGGGTGGTGTGTCCAAGCCTCGCTTTCTTGTATTCAAAAATAGCCCAATTGCAGCACTGCAAAATGAAATGGCCATTTCATATCACACACGAGATAGAAGTTACTAAAACTCTCTTCATGCGCTCAAAAGTTAACTTAAAATCCCAGCAACAACAATTCAAAAAGGTCATAAATTTATATTGCAATCAAAAAAGAGAAACATATTCGAAAATAAGGAATAACATTTATGCCTAAGATATTCTTGTAAATTAACTCTGTTTATATTCATCTTGGTACTCAATCAAATAATGATAAGTTACATTAAATCTATGTATAGTCTCTATCTGAAAACCTTTTCTGCACATTGCGTTAATCTGCTTTTAAATGTTGATCAAAATATCATTATCATCATTATCACAAAAAAAAAAAAATCATTATGTTCTCATAACAGTAAAGTTATGAGAACATAATTAAAGTTATGAGAACATAAGTAAAGCAAAAGTTCAAGAAAGTTATATGCAAACACATTTGCCAATAAATTAAAGGACAAAACCAAAATTACTTTTATCTGAAAAGCATATCAACAGCTTACTAAATTAAATTACTATATGGGGATGTCATTTGCAAACTATTCTGCTGTTATCCGGTAAATTATTGTACAATTCATGATCTATATAATTCTCGACATCTGTTAAATGTATTATCACCAATAATAAACAGAAATAAACTGTTTAGCAAAATATACTTCATGAAGTAGCCACTTATTTACAATTTCTACATTTGCTAAAACATTTAACAACTTCATTATTTATTACTATAGATTTATAAAAAAAAACACATTCATTAAACAATCACAAAAAATATGAACATTGCGTACAGTTCAAGTATCAACTATTTGATTGGAAAAAGACAAGAGCATGATCAGAAAATAAACTTTCTCTACCATTCGCCAGTTCCTGAAAACCAACAATCGTTTTTACAGTCGTTAAAGAATGCAGATGATAATGATATTTCATCAAACATCAGAATACAGTTTTTGCTATTCACATATTGTTTCTGTGCCATAGCTAAACCCAATGTTTGGAAAAGGGTCTCATTAATACCACTATACAAAGGAATTGCTGAGAGCAACTTTCTCAATGTTTGAGGAGCAGGCAAAACAAATATTTTTCTCCAAAAGTAATAACCTCTTAGAGAAATTGTATGCAGAGTTAAAGCAAGAATTTTATCATCAAGTGTAAATTTTCTTCCTTTTCGCTTCTTTGTATGTTCTCTTAGTTGACTTAATATAAAATTACGAGCCCTCTTATTTAATGTTGCTGGGAGATAAGCAAAATTGTCAGCACATTCGACACTTTCTTGTAACTTCTGCCTCAATATTTTTTTGTATATTTATCCTTCTGACTTCTTTTCTCAACACATTTGTTATATGGTATAAATTTTGTTTTTTGCATATCTGGTCTCTGCAGTGCTTATATCTTGAGTTAAGAACCTCTGCTGAAAAAAAAATATCTAGAATCATTTGCTACAAACTTAATTTGTAGTATGAAAAATTTTAAATAACTCACCTTTCAGGGACGGTTTTCCATCTTCAGTTTTGCCAGAACAATACAAAAAAGTGTTATAAAAAGAATAATTTTTCAATAACATAGCTTCCAGAAAGGGATTTAGTAAGACGGGTGTCTTGTATTCATAACCTTAAAATTCCTAGCATTGATACTGTTAAATGTCTCAGTTATTGAGCTACAATAAAAAATTATATCAGAAGTTCTAGTAATAGATGCGAGTATTTTGTTGTATACATATTGATAAAACTTATTCACCTAGTTCTCACCATCAGTGCTCAGCCCGGGCTCCAGTTATTTTACTAATCATTTTACATATTACGTCATTTTCTGCAGGAAATACACCATTTTCGCATATTTGTTGATGTTCCGCATTATTGTACACCGCACTTTGACATGATATTTGTTATAAACTTTTAACAAACATTTGACACTTTGACACTATTCCGCCATATTAGATTCTTGAATATTTTCTTTAGCCCGTTTTGTAGCGCTACCAGCGCTCCAAACGAGGGAGAGGGAACTAAAAACGAGATTACAGATGTTTGTTCCGTGATTACCGGCCATGAACCGTGCTATAAGAAACTCGTATTTAACATACAATTCAGGCTAATTTGTAGTGCGTTCTATGGAACCTTACATAGTGCAGTATGGGAACCGTGTTATGAGAGACTCAGATAAACCGATACTGCGCATAACAGAGAAATGTTACGGCATGGCATGTTACGCTCCGACTCCCCATACATTATGCGAATGAATCATACTGAATGCTGTCAAAATATCATGTATTTGCTGTTCATTCCGGCGTTTTAAGCATAAACTGCAACGTCACTCGTATGTTACCGTTTACACTCGTATGTAAAGGTGCGTCCACACCTAACGAACGAACACGAACGAACATGTCGAACAAGAAAATACAAAGAAGAACGAACAGGAACACAAACGAACGCGAAAAATTCCAAACGAACTTGAACAAGCGCTTAAAAGCAGTGAGCGCTTGAATTTTCGTTGTTCGTAGATGTTCCGTGAAACGTCAGTTTTATTATTGATATGGATGTAAGCTTTAATCATACGGCATTTTCACTGGTTTTTGTGTGATTTTTGTTCGTGTATATTTTGTAAATATACTGTAAATAAATTATTCAATTAATTTCACTCAGTTTTTGTATTTAATATTTATATTTTGAGTCGTTTTCTTTCCTCAGCATTCATATTCGGAGCAATCTGAACATTCCAGGCTTGAGCTAACTATACTCAATTTTCATACTCTCATCCTCAACATATATGTTGAATGTCTATGTATGATAACAAGTTTAATATTTACTTGTAAAGACTGCAATCATACTCTTCTTTTATCTATGACTGCAATTTCTTCTTTACTGCAGCTTCTGACATCCCAAACGTTTTGCCTACACTTTCCCAAGCATCGTTTTTTTTTCTAATAATTTTATAAAAAGGGTCTTTAGTCTCCCATATTATAGGAAACTTTTCTATTTCATTTATGAATGATAAAATTACGTCATTTGACTATTCCATAATTTATTCAAAATTTTCAATCTGTACACAATAATTAAAAGTAAATATTATTAAAATTTTCAAACAATAAAATTATTAACTTTAAAATTTTCAAACATTAAAATTATTAATTTAATTATTATTAAATTATTAAAAAATTATTATTAAATTATTAAAACAAAAATGTTCGTTTGCGTTCGTTGAGACGTCCACATTGCACATACGAGTTCAAACATGAACGAACAATTCCCTTTGATGTACCGACAAGTTGCGGAACATTGCTCGCCATGTTTGTTTATGTTCGTTCGTGATCGTCGTGGCTCCACACTATGCTGTTGCCGTTCGTTCTGGTACGTTCTTTTATGTTCGTTCGTGTTCGTTCGTTAGGTGTGGACGCACCTTAAGAGAATCAGAAACACACACTTATTTAACATCGTTTTTTTGACATTTGTGCGGCTTTTAGGTTATGTTTTGTATGAGAAAACCTGAGAAATTCGCCTGACTGAACACCAACCGCATAACTTTTGTCTATATTACTATGGAAAATTCTTCATAACATGACCTTATCATAACATTGCGGCAGAATCGGTCCCAGAGTTGGTACAAATCGCACCATTTTTATCGCGTTGTATGGAGACCAAGAAATACAACTTGAAGTAGGAGAAATACGGACAAAATGACGTGTAGGACATTGACACCTTATTCAAAAATTGGCGCGACGCAGTAGTCAGCTCAAACGTGTTCTTAGGCGCCTATTATACAATCAGGCATGTCTAAAAGATAAAAGTCGATAACAAAATTTACATCAATACCCTTTTGCATAACGAACTTATGGGCTGTTGACCAAATACCGCGTAATAAGAAGTCCGTGTAGTCGGAGGGATGTCGGATTTTCAGATCCGTGTAGTATGGGAACCGTGTACCCAGAGTGCCGTGTAAAGCGAGGGCCTACTGTATATATATATATATATATATATATATATATATATATATACATTTATTACATTTACATACTACATTAAATTTTGTACACGTGCTGCCATCTATTTTAATAAACTCAAATTTCAATCAATGAACGTCAAATCGCCAGACATAGAAATCTATTTATGCTTATGCTGTCCAAGAGCTGTGCATTTGAAAGCAATTCTTAATGAAAGCAATTTTAATCATGAGCAAATATAAAATATTGACGTGTAAACACAAATTACAATTTATAAACACAGAAAGAATAATTAAAAATTGACTTTTCTAACCAACTATTGATTTTTGACTCAGTAGCGATAAATTTGCGCCTGGTTTCCGACCCCTAAACTACATACTGTGAACGCGGGTTTTGTTTTGAGACAATAGGCCATACATAAATAAGTAAAATAGGCCCTGATTCTAATATTGTCTCTAGTTGATAACGTTGATTTATAGTAAAAAGCATAGTATCGTTGAATCATAGATAAAACAGAGTTCTTAAATCTACTCGTTGAAAATTGGATTTGACTCACGAATTGGACACCGTGGCGTTGGTGGCGTTGCGTATTACAATGAGCAGGTCTATCTTGTATCAAACAAGCTATGATAAACAAGATGGAGGTCGTTCATTTGTCTAATGATTTTGTTTTAAGAAGTACGATTTTTTCTGAATTGTAATTTAAAATCATGGAAATTCTTAACAGGACTACCATAGGCATTGCTGCTGGTGTTTGCGGCACGTTGTTTTTAGGTTATTGTTATTATTTTGATCAACAACGGAGAAAGGATCCCGATTTCAAGAAAAAACTTAGAGAAAGTAAGTTACTTAACCTACAATATATTGAAATGAAGCAATTTTCTTTTTTATTTCAAAATGGTATTTGTATATCTTACCAATAACTTCTATAATTAACTATAACTTCTCGTGTTCATATTATTTGATGCCGGAACATTTTCGTCCCTGTCAAAATGTATCATTTGTTCTTTATTGAACGTCAGATTATAAATTTTTTGACCCGAGTGTAATAATGAATTCTTTTATTGATAAAATAATAAACATGTTTGTTTTATTTTATCTAGATACTTTTAATGTCATTCCATTATTGTTTAGCTTTGTACAATAATTTTTTGTTTAACACTTTATATATTATGTGTTGATTATACAATTGCATGTGGATTAATTGCTTGTTTCATAGGAAGATTATCACAAGAAAGAAACTCATACATGTACAAATTAATTACAAATCAATAGCAGAAATAAACAAGCTTTTATTGATTACTAAATCATATAAATATATATATGTATGTATGTATGTATGTAACGGAAACTTTTTTATAATGATTAATTTAAAAACAATTTAACACTACACTACACTATTAACACAATTGTAATACCAAGCTATCAATAGTCCAAATATTTATTACTTATTATGAATTCAAGTTAAAGAACCAGATTTGTGTACATAGTTTTTGTAAGACTGAGCGCTGAGTGAATTGTGTTTGCAAAAACTATTTTAAAAATGTGCAAACTAGTAAAAACATATGCTTCATTCAGTTATAATGTTGTTTGAAAATTGGTCGAAGAGTATCTTGTATTCATTACAAAGCAAATATATGGACACCTAGGTCTGTTTTTACACGGTCTTTTTGTACACGGTTTTGATATAACACGGTTTGAAAATTGAATATTTTTAATTTTTTTACACGATTTTATTCCATTTAGCACGATTTGAAATTTTATGTACTTAAATTTTTTCTGTCAAATTTAATTTTTGCGAAGTATGTTCATATCACAAAAAAGTATTTATGAAAGAAAAAAGTCTGAAACCATCAATAGTATCGATAGTTTGCGAACACTAGCTTAAAAATTTAAGTAAATTCCCCTTTAGCGCGTACAAACAATTTTTACTGGTCAAAGCAAATGTGAATAGCACTAATTTAATTCTTGTTCTTAAAAATTCTTGTTTTTCACTAATTTTAATAGGTTTTAGAAATTAGGGACAAATCACCCATTTTTGTATAAGATCAATGTCTTTTTTTACACGTTTTTTTTTTACACGGCTTCTTCTGGAACCAATCTACCGTGTAAAAACAGACTTAGGTGTATATATATATGCAACACTTAGATTTTTTAACACAACTTTATTTTATAATTCAAATGTTTCAAGACCATGGTGTGCCTTATCTTCAGTGTAATTTAAAAAAACAGTTACTTATTACTATACATTTTTTAATATTTTATTTAAAACTATATTTAACTTTTGAATATAAAACCACCAACTATTCCTTGCATTGACAAGTGACAATTGTTAACTTCCCGTAGGGCAAGTTATAGTAATCGCAAAAAAATCGAAAATGAAAATTTTTATATATCTTTACGTTTCAGAGGTTTCTGAATATTTTGGCATACCTTAGAAAAAATGGATGTATGTGTGTGTGTGTGTGTGTGTGTGCGTGTGTGTATGTATGTGCGGATACAAATTTTCGTCGACGATTTCGGGAACACCGATCAACTGATTTGAATAATTCAAAAAACATTCGATTCGTATTGATAAGGAGACGTGCTGATTAGTTTTTGGCGAAGTCAGGTCTAGCCGTTCCGAAGATACGGGGCAAAAAGTGCCGAAAACGGTAACTCAGTTTTTAAGAGAACGAAGCGTCCGATTTTAATAATTCAAAAAACATTTTACTTGTATTGACATGGTGAAGCACCGATCAAATTTTCATAAAGGCAGGTCTAGCGGTTTCGGAGATCTAATGAAAAAAGTAAAAAAAATTGCCATTTGGCGGTCAAAAATGATCATTAGACATATGCATATCAAATTATCAGATATTTTATAGAGATTTTAACAATAAGTATAATTTTGGTTTACATTCCTATGGGTTCCGTACCAATGTTTACGCGTTAGACGTCGACGCGGCGCTTACGCGGTTTGATATTTCGTCTTTGTGCAGTTAAAGTAGTACGATTGCTTTGAAAAAAAGTTTAGATCTTTCAAAATATGTCAAAATAAAGAAAACATTTTTTTATAAGAAGGGCTGGACCTGGCTTTGCTAAACACTAGTCTCCCCGTGAATAGGTGTCGAATGCTTTTTGAATCATTCAAATCGGGTTGATCCGAGCTCTTCAAAAGTTGGACGAAAAAAGACAAACAAAAAATTTAATATTACGTATTAAAATAGACATTATACACACACTCATACATCATTTTTTAAAGCATGCTAAAATGCTCAGCAGTCTTTGAAATGCAAAGATATGCCAAAATTTTCATTTTCGATTTTTTTGCGATTACTATAACTTGCCCTGCGGAAGTTACTTATTATATAATCATACAATATTATATATTTTAGGAAGACGTGTTAAGAAAAATGCTCGAGCACAAAAACCAAGTGGAATGCCTGACTTAAGAGATCACGAAGCAGTTCAAAGGTTTGCACAACCGTGCTTTTTTGATTTTTTTTGATTACCTATGGTTTAATTATTTATATTTAGTCTTGTAGGTTTTGGAACTTTTGTTATTTTTCTAAAAAAGTATGTGCCGGATTAACGCTATTACCTTCAGTTCAATTAGTACTTAAAAATATATATTTTATTTTCAAAGCTTTTATTATATACTAGCCGACCCGACAGACTTCGTTCTGTCAAAAAAAATTGTAATGTGGCGGTGTTTTGTTCCTACTTTTTTCTATTCTTTGCAAAAAAATTATCCTGAATAGAACCGTCACCCTGGTAAAAATTCGGTGTGAATTAAAAATAATTAAATAATTAAATTTGTGCCGTTGCAAAGGCGCGGTTGGTCGATATTTCGCAATATTATAATTGCCGATCCAATCTTTAATTGAAGATTGTGAGGTGACAATCTTAGCAAATCCAGCGAGTTTAAAAACTCCGGTGGATCGTCTTGGTTAGTTGTCGAATCAACTGATTCGCCTGTAATATGTTCTTGAATTTCGAAATTTAATTCATTTACATCAATGTTTTTGGCTGCCAATATAGCTTGTTAATCAATAGAAAGATATTTCTATGTTTATATAAATATATTAAAAATTAGATTATCAAAAACTACACAAAATGTCATGACATATTTCATTGTTTTTTCTACAAATTTTGTTGCCTACTCGATTAAAAAAGAAAAGGGCTGTTTTTAGGGTTTTTCCGGCAATTATTCGAATTTTTCTCGCCGTAAGAACCATCCTTGGACATCAACGAACATTTTAAAAAAAGAATTGGCCAAATTGATCCAGGCGTTGTTGAGTTATGCGCTTACCAACACATTTTGCGTTCCATTTTTATATATAAGATATATATATATATATATATATATATATATATATATATATACGAGGTGTGTTCAAAAAGTACCCGGAATTACTAATAATTAAATTTCGCGGGTCTGGAGTGTCTGATTGTCAAAATTTTTTTTTTATTGTGTTGGTATACATGCCCCTAAAGTATGATGAAATTTTCAGCTATATTCACTGTTTACTTTGTCTGTGGTAGTCGCTAAGGTTCGACGTGTTTTTCTGAGCTCGGCGATTTTTACAATGGAAGAATTGAAAAGTCAAAGAATTTGTATTAAATTTTGCGTAAAAAATGAAATAAAGTGTTGCAAAGTGCAAAAATTCACCAGATATGGCTCCGTGTGACTTTTTCCTATTCCCAAAGTTGAAGAGACCCATGAAAGGACGGCGGTTTTCCTCGATTGAAGAAATAAAGGCCGAATCGCTGAGAGTGCTCAAGGACATATCAAAAAGTGAATATCAAGGGTGCTTCGAAAATTGGAAAAAACGCTGGCATAAGTGTATTATATCTGGGGGGGACTACTTTGAAGGGGACCACAATAATGTAGACGAATAAATAAATATTTTTTTGAAAACACGAAAATTCCGGGTACTTTTTGAACAGACCTCGTATATATATATATATATATATATATATATATATATATATACATTCTATTTAAATTTTATTCTATATTCTTCTTCTTCTTAATTTTTTCGATTTTTGCTGTTTTTCTATCAAATTTCTAATTCTATTCAACTTCTATCTTCATTCCATTTTTTCTTATTCATTCTTCTTTTTAAATCAGCAAATTCTGATATTTTTTCTTCTTACTACTAATACAATTCAGCTTTTAGAATTCTGTAATTCCTATTTTTCTTAATTTTTATTCAATTTCTACTTAACAAATATAATTTTCATTTAATTTCAAATTAACTACATTTTTTTTTTTCATAAGTTCTAAGTCAATGATAGGATTCGATCCAAAAATCCCTATCGTGTGAATCGAACACGCTACCAAGTGAGCTATGCTCGCCACTATAATACTAGGTGGTGCCCCGCAAAAGTTATTTTGCCATAAAAAATATTTTTAGTATAAAATTCAATTTTTTTGAACTGTCAAAATTTTGTTTATGATTAATGTTAATGTTAAATAATGCTTTTTCATTGTGATCTTTTAAGTTTTGAGGAAGTTTTGAATGAATTTGATAAGCAAATGAAATAAATATAAATTATAAATCTATTTATCTAATAATATTCATAAATATTGACAAATGTCATTTCATATTTTTTTAATGCTCACATTTATTTAAATTTATAAACATTGATTTTTAATTAGATTTAAAACTATAAACAGTGATTTTGAATATAGCATTTCATCGAAATTGGATATAAATGTTGGACATATCTATACATGTATGTTTTTAAATTATATTTTGAACTGCCAATTTTTTTTAAAAAATTATAAATCAATTTTTCTCCAGAACATTAACAATCGTCATTTCATTTCGAATTCAATTTCAAAAAAATAGTTGCCTAATTTACACAAAATTGAAACAGTGCTCCCGTTTTGCAAATAATTATGTGCAACATTTTCACAGAAAAATTAGAAACAATTTTTTTTTTTCCAAAAGCAATTATTTTGTTGAAACAAGCAGAAAGTTCTTTGAATCACTTAAATTGGACTCCTAGTTCTCTCAAAAACTGCCATTTTTTTCACATTTCTCTCTGTATCCGAAACCGCTGGGCCTACCTTTTACAAAAACTAATAACCACTTTTCCCCATCATTACGAACTGAATGTTTTTGAATCATACAAATCGGATGATCCGTTCTGTCAAAAACTCGATTTCTATTTTCTGCACTCTTTGCTCCATATCTCCGTAACGGCTGGACCTGTCTTTGCCAAAATTTAAATTTAAATTCGATACTTCGTTCTCTCAAAAACCTAAAGGCTAGACCTGCCTTTGCCAAAAACTAATTAGCTCATCTCCCTATTAATAGGAATCGAATGTTTTTTAAACCATTCAAATCGGATGATCCGTGCGCCCAAAAACGTGGACGAAAAAATGCAGACATACAAAACACACAAACACACACATCCATTTTTTCTGAGGTATGCCAAAATGTTCAGAAACCTTCAAAACGTCGAGAAATGCAAAAAAACCTACCCTACGGGAAGTTAAAAATATAGACCTATAATATTAGTTGATTTTGTATTTTTACAGATTTTTCTTGCAAGAAGTACAACTAGGAGAAGAATTACTTGCAAGTGGCGACCTTGATGGTGGTGTTGAACATTTAACTATTGCAGTAGCTGTTTGTGGGCAACCGACTCAACTTCTACAGGTAAGCTATTATCTACAGAAAACAGTGATAAACAACATGTGCATCAAGCCACATAACAATTTATTGAGACTTATCATTGGGGAGCTACATCCGTTTAAGTAAAAATTTGCTCACCGAACTCCTCCCTACATTCCTTCATTTTAGGTATAATCTATTCTGTTTCAGAACCCTCTATTAATAAAAGTTTAATTATTATAATTTAATTTTTTCTAGGTGTTACAGCAAACATTGCCACCACAAGTTTTTCACTTATTACTGCAGCGCCTACCACAAGTTGGGTCTCGTCTTGAGAAAGCAAGTCCTCATGTTACCATGCATGAAGATGATGTAGAATGATCTATGTTTCGATAGCATAGAAAATTATTATTTGTTAGATGTTTTATTATGTTCATTTTTAGCCAATATGTGGTTTGAATAGAAAATGTTAAAAATCCTGCATTGGTGTTTTTTAATTAATTTATATTAAATTTAGACTGCTGAATCGTCAATAATCTTCAAGATACAGTTGTCTGTAGTCAACTCAACATTAGCGTATTGAAATATTATGAATTGATAAGCTTGAAAGACGATGATTGGAATTATCTTCTCAAATATCGTGACTTAGTTGGGTATTGACTGCACAAAAATTCAAGTAACTTCATACAAGTGAATCCATACTCTTTAAAATAACGATTGCTGACCGCCTTGGAAATCGCTTGATAACTATATATCTTCTATATATATAAAAATAAGTCGGGTTTTCCTTCCTGACGAAATAGCTCCAGAACGCACGAACCGATTTCGACAATTTTGCATTCGTTGGAAAGGTCTCGGGCTCCGCAAGGCTCTTCTTATAGCTAAGAAAATTAGTGGTGCATGGCATCGTGCCCTAATGCAAATTGCTGGAACTTCACGCACCGTAATTAAAAATTCGAGTAATGAAATTTGTGAGAATTATCAGAATTATGCTTAGTTAAGTCAACGAGCAATTCTTGCCGCAAAGAATAATGATGTACACGCACTGAATTTTACCATTCAATCAAAAATTGCTGACGATTTGGTGACATACCAATGATTCCGACTGGTCTTCCGTTTGACTTCAAACGATTGCAATTTCCAGTTCGCCTTGCGTTCGCAATAACAAATCTCAAGGCCAATCGCTTAGTGTTTGCGGGATAAATTTCAAATAGATTATTTAGAAAATCATTGTTTTTCACATGGGCAGCTATACGTCGCCTGTTCACGAGTTGAAAAACCATCCGCTTTGTTTGTGTTAACGTTAGACCAAAAAACAAAAAATGTGGTTTACCAAAGAGCACTTCAATGAAACGGATAATTTGCGGATTCACTTTCATTTACTTAGAGAAAAAACACTTCATTTTTGTAATCGAAATGAATTCATTACTGTTGTATAATAATATCAAATTTTTCCTTTTCAAATATAAAACAAACAAAAAATTTCTTCATCTTTCTCGGGAAACCATCTGGTGGCGAAACGGAGTTTGTCGGGTTTGCTAGTATATATATATATATATGAGTGAGTCCTTGAGGGCGATACATCAAACAAAGAATATCTTTGTTTGATGTATCGCCCTCAAGAACTCACTCACATATTTCAACATCAAAATTAACTACTAAATCCATATATATATATATATATATATATATATATATATATATATATATATATATATATATGTATGTATGTATGTATGTATATGCAATGTATACATATGCAACATGTGTCAAAAAGTCTGTGGCCACTTGTACAATTTAAAGCGCGAAATTCAAATAGAAATTTAAAAGATATGTGATAGATAAATTTTTATATAAAAACTAATCAGCACGTCTTCCCATCGATAGGAATCGAAAGTTTTTGAATCATTCAAATCCTTTGATTTGTGCTCCCGAAATCGTAATCCCGAAAAAATAGTTATAGTTGAGTATTTTTGGTGAAAACAATTTGATGGTCTGCTACTATATTCGAAATGAAATACTTTTTAAGTAAAATAATATTTTATTAAATTTGAATATTATTGAATGAATAAGTTTAGCGACCATGCAACTTTAAAAAGCCGTTACATGTTACCTTTAGCAATAAATAGCAGTTTAATGACGGTCAAGGTAATATTTCGACGCTTGTATAATAGAACAACCTAGAGAAACATACATCACTTCTTCTCAACGATTGGATTCAAAGAACAACTAGTGGGGTGGGTGGCATCGCGCCTTAAGGCAAATTGCTGGAACTTCCCGTACCGTAACGAAATGTTCGAGGAATACTGAATGTGTTCAAATAGATTATTATAAATATTGTAATATTGTCTAATATTTATAAGAATTATATAAACTGAATTGCAAAGTTGAAATTATTTGTTTAAAGTATATTAGAACTATAGTCAGAATTAAAAATAAAATCTGAATTATTTTCGATATACAAAAAATTTTTTTAAAAAAAAAAGTTGAAACAAAAAATGTTTTTTTCCAAAATCAATTATTTTGTTAAGACAAGCAGAAAGTTCTTTGAATCAATTAAATCGGACGCTTAGTTCTCTCAAAAACTACCATTTTTTGTACATTTAGCTCCGCATCTTCGAAATGGCTGGGCCTGCCGTTGCTAAAGACTAACAACCACTTCTCCCAATCATTACTAACTGAATGTTTTTTAGTTCATTCAAATCGGATACTCTGTTCTCTCAAAAACTCGATTTCTATTTTCTGCACTCTTTGCTCCTTATCTTCGTAACTGCTGGACTTGCCTTTGCCAAAAACTAATCAGCACATCTCCTTATCAATAGGAATCGAATGTTTTTTGAACCATTCAAATCAGTTGATCCGTACGCCCGAAAACGTGGACGAAAAATTGTATCCATACATACATACACACACACACATCCATTTTTTCTGGAGTATGCCAAAATGTTCAGAAACGTTCAAAACGTCGAGAAATGTAAAAATTTTCAATTCCGATTTTCAGCCCATTACAATAACATACCCTACGGGAAGTTAATATTAATACCGCCGGTATTGGTATTACACCGGTATTTCGGGATTACCAAAACTTTGTTAAAGATTTAACTTACGCAATACATATATGATCTTTTTTTAATTAAATTTTTTTTTTTAAATATATATTTGACTTATTCGAACTCTGCTGAATAACTCATTTCACTATTACAAGAATGTAAATATTAATACACAAGTAAATATTAATAATAAACGTTAAATTAATATTAACCTAACTCAAATCTGAAATATCGGTTTTTATATAAAATCCTACTGGTGATAGATAACACTTATCTAAAGTCATAACATATAAGTCTGCAATAAATATTTTATTATTTATTATTAAGTTTTTGTCTTATTTTAGTTTTGGCTGCTAATGTTTCGAATCTATACCTCAAAGCTTAACATAAAATATTATGTAACAATGTTATCAATATTTGATATTATTTTCATTACAATAATTTACAAAAATATTAACAACATGAATATAAAACAATGCATATATATATATATATATATATATATACACGTGTGTGTGTATATGTGTATGTGTTTGTGTATGTGTATATCTTTTCACAAATAAATAATTAACAACGAACAAAATTTGATTTATACAGAGGATTCATTACATATATAAAGATGATAAATATTTCGAGTTAAAGTAATTTTAATCGATCCATTTCCTTGAATAGCGTAGTACCCATTTGCGCCGGACTTGAGGTGACAAGCACATTCGCACTTTGCAAAGCTTTTATCTTATCTTGTGCACCACCTTTTCCTCCTGATATAATAGCTCCAGCATGTCCCATTCTTCGCCCTGGGGGTGCTGTCAAACCAGCTATGAAAGATACAACAGGTTTTGCCTTTTGACCCTAAAAATTATTTTTGAGATAAATATTTGAACAAATATTTGCATCATTTAAAATTTAAATATATATATATATATATATATATATATATATCATTAAATAACTTATTTAAAAAAAATCAGTTTCTTTTTCACTAAAAACGCGTTTCGAGTTTATTCCACAGCCGAAAGATTAGTCAATAAAATATTAGACAACAAATGACTACCACATAATAAGATATAAGTAAAAATTAATTAACAAAACTAGTTGGTATTTGTATTTAGCCTTGAGGCAAGTTACATGAACTTCCCGATATGTGTGAATTAATCGACTTAATCAATAAGAAATATATTAATTTATGAGTGAATAAAAGTATTTCGAGTGGATTTATTACACATAATTGAAAATGAACGAACGAATACGTTAATAACTCGGAGTAGGTATTCTCTTAAAGCAAATTTTCACAAATTAATAATTTTTATAATTGAACCAGTTTCCGTAGGACTTTAATGGTTTAGTATATTCATTGAGACCAAGTACTCTATCGTTATACCAAGTAAATCGTCTAATTTCAATTTTAACAAACGTCAAAAAAAACTACTCATTTTCTTAATCTTTGATTAATTTTTAAAATTAAACTACTTGTAAGGCCGTAATATTTCAGTAAGTTCTATAAGACCATGATATATATCACCAAAAAAAGTTCCATGAAAATCGTCTTAAATTTTTTTTTCACCAGTTAATTACAAGAAAACGGCTCGGTAGATTTTCATCTAAAACTAATCAGTATCATTTCCAACTAATATTAACAGTTTATGATTTTTTAAAATCGATTCGGTAGTTTGAGCTTAAATGTGGACGAAAAGTTTAACACTTTTTTTCAAATTACAAAGAAACGGCTCGGCAGATCGTCTCACAAAACTGACAAATTATAGTCCTCATTGAGATACATCAAATGGCTTTTAAATTTATGAAATCGGTTCAGACGTTTTTGAAAAAACGTCGATCAAAGGTTTAATTTTGTCAAATGTCAAAGAAACGATACTAATTTTTGCAAACTTTGACGATTTTTCAAAATTAAACGACTTGTCGTAGGGCCGTAATATTTTAGTATGATCTACAAGACTATGGTATCTACCGTCAAAAAAATCATAAAAATCGTCGATTTTTTTTTTTAAAAAAACTTTATTACAAGAAAACGGCCCGGCCGATCTGTACCAAAAACTAATCAGCACGATTCCCAATCAATATCTATCGAACGGTTTTTGAATTTTCAAAATCGATTAAGAATTGCGGGCTAAAACGTGGACGAAAAATTTTTCACTTTTCTGCGATTTACAAAGAAACGGCTCGGCCGATCGTCGCACAAGACTGAGAAACGATAGTCCTCATCGAAATACATCGAATGGCTTTTAAATTTTTGAAATCGATCCAGCCGTTTTTGAGAAAACGTCGATTTACGTCAAAAAATCTGTTCACACACACACACACACACATACACACATACTTTTTCCAAATTTGGTCTCATTCGATTCAGAATGGCTTGAAACGTCGAGAAAACATAAAATTAGCAATTCGGATT